AACCACCCACACCAGAGCACCCGCCAACTACCCACACCAGAGAAACCCACACCAGAGCACCCACCAACCACCCACACCAGAGCACCCACCAACTACCCACTCAGAGCAACCACCAACCACCCACACCAGAGCACCCACCAACCACCCACTCACCCAGTGAAGAACTGAGGCATCACTTGGTAGTCCAGGCGGTATGGTGAGTTGTTCTTGGTCAGCATGACCTCATGCTTACAGCTGTGCTTTCTCTCTAGGGAAAGGAAGAAGAAACAATGGATGCGGACAGAACAAATGCAGTCCATGCAGGATTTGGAGCCGAATATTGAGAAGTTTGGAATACTATATAGTTCTTACGGTTAGAGTTAGATTGTTCAGAATAACAAAATTTTAAATACTGGGGGGAGGTGGGTTCCTAATTTTTGTCCATTTTTTAAAAACTATTACTTTGACGATTTACACTTATGATGATTATGATGATAACAAAATGATGATGATGATGATAATAACAATAAGAAGAAGAAGAAGAATGATGTTGATTATATATAATTCGGCCGTTTGGCTTTTTGTGTAAGAACATTTTTATGGGCAGCCCCATTGCATAGTGATAAGTTTAACCTTTTAACCTAAACAACTCAGATGTCAAAAGATGCTGGAATGGATTAATCTATATCTACTGAAAGTTTCATAAATATACAGCCAGAAGTTTTTATTTTTTGTCCATTTTTTAAAAACAATTACTTTGACAATTTACTCTAATGATGATGATGATGATGACAATGCAGTCATTAGATCTAAATTTTTTGGTATGTTCCTGATGAAGCCCGGAGTCAGGTGAAACGTTGAACGTATTATTAAATATGTTTGGAAATATTACTAAGTCTCAACCTTTTTTATTCTCTGATGTCTACAATGATACTGATAGCAATAGTGATGATGATGATGATGATGATGATGATGATGATGATGATGATGATGATGACAAGAACAATATATTAATAATAAAGATTATTATATATATATATATATATATATATATATATATATATATATATATATATAAATAGAGAGAGAGAGACCTTTTAATATGGCTTATTTATGTTGTAAGTGCCGTAAAACTTTTACTAAAACCAAACTACGTGTAGGACCTTTTCCAAGTTGTATGCCATTACCTGCCGCGTAATAAGAAATTCTAAAGCCCAACCCAACGTATGTGGGCTCAGAAGCGAAGGTGACATTGAGGTGGCCATTGGTGAACGACTGATAGAACTTCCTTCTCAGACACAAAACATCCAGTGTCTCTATAATATGACCCATATCTGAGAGAAGTGTGAAAAGAAAAAAAAACCATTGAGAATTGTCGGGTTTTATTTTTTAAATTGTAGCTGTGAATGGTTGTTTGTTTATTTGTTTGTAAAATTGTTTGTTTGTTTTGTTGCTTGTTTATATATTTGTTTGCAAAATTGTTTGTTTGTTTGTTTATATATTTGTTTGTAAAATTATTTGTTTATTTGTTTGTTTGTTTTTGCCACCATCCACACAATTTAGATTATTTTGGAGGCAGGCGGCCTCTCACTTTGGGCAAAGAAGGATATAGAACATCCCAGCAGACAGACAGAGACACAAAAAACAAAAACAAAACTGAAAACAAAAACCTACCTGAGAATTCCAACAGTAGAAAGTGTTCTTACAGGAGACTTCTTCAGGTTAGATAGACAGAAGAAAGAACGAATGAAAGTGTCTTGAAAGAACAGCTGTTCAGATATATTAATGTACTATGCCCAACACATTTTGATTCATACTTTTTTTTTTCAGTTACTTCATTAGTAATGGCAGTTGCATGTGCTCTAGATTCACAAGATTGTCATAATTCAAATACAAAATAAATATTGAAAAAAAGCAAGAAAATATACGTAAATAGATATGCAGGTACAACTGTTTACAAGATGGAACTCTCCCCGGTAAAATGCTGCTTTCTGGGCTCAGTGGTTCTATTTTCAAACCTCGCTGATATGAATACGCTAGCAAGTGTTCCAAAGTTTGCTCACATATCACGGGCGAGATTTGTAAGAGCCCCCGTACACTTTGGCAGACCTATACATCATTCACGTCAACCTCGATGACTAAATCGAGCCCCCGCGAAGCATCAGATGAGGACGTCTGTATGTTCCAATTACAGTGCAGGTTTCTGGGGACACAGTTTGGGGTTTTGTTTTTGTTTTTTTGTCATGTGCCCTAAATTGGTGCAAATAATTTGCTACCTTATAAGAACAGAATTATAAAGTTCTGCCCGACATTTTTGGCTGTTTTTAGTTACTTAGACCGTGACGTCAGAAACCAAATGTTCTAGATATATCTCTTCTATCAAAATCGTAAAAGTAGTTATCAAGATATTCAAAGAATCGCATTCGAAAAAGCTTGACATGTTGTGCAACTCAAAATGTTTGACGTCAAATGTCTCAAAACAAGGCTCTGAGCAGATAGAACTGTGTAATTTTAGGGTAGCATTGTAAGTCACGTAGAATTGGGCCAACATGGTACAAACTGTTATGCTTCAAGAAAAACAAAACAAAAAAAGGGAAACTTGTTTGGTCTGTGATGATGATGATGATGATGATGATGATGATGATGATGATGATGATGATGATGATGATGATGATGATGATGATGACTGCATTCTGTATATACATAAATTCATGTTTCTGATGGCTGATTTGTTTGTTTGAGTAAAGAGAAGCATATCGACACCATAATGGTCATTTAGTGCTGATGGTAACAATGAGTCACAATATGGTGGAATCAGGCACTCGTCAGATTTTTGGGGGCATATGAAGTTGTTAGTATAATCTTAAATCCTATTCTTGAAAGAAGGTTGATATATTTACGATTTAAAGGGGAGGGAGTTGCCTGTTGTCAGAAAATAAATTAGCAAGAAAATGGCCCACAACATTTTGTCATTTCCAAAGCTTGAGTGTCCTTGGCAACTGCAAATTTACATATTTTTGTGTGTGTGTATGTGCCTTCGATCAACGTTTTTCAGTAAAACCCACACAGAAATGCGTTATTAAAATGGACATTAAAGATGTGGAGCCCCCACACCCCCAACACCCCCCCACACCCACCAACCACCCACACCAG